AGACTGTCTTTCCTCCATTGTATGTTCTTGCCTCCTTTATCAAATATTAATTGACCATAATGGCATGGATCAATTTCTGGGTCCTCTGTTCTGTTCCACTGATCGATATGTCTGTTCTTGTGCCAGTATCAGGCTGTTTTGATTACACTGGTTTTGTAATATAACTTGATATTTGGTATTGTGATCCCTCCAACTTTTTTTTCTTTCTCAGGATTGCCATGGCTATTCAGGGTGTTTTTTGGTTCCATATAAATTTTTGAAGTGTTTGTTCTAGATCTGTGAAATATGCTGTTGGTATTTTAATAGGGATTGCATTGAATTTATAGATTACTTTGGGTAATATAGACATTTTAATGGTGTTAATTCTTCCAATCCATGAACATGGTATATTTTCCCATTTGTTTATATCTTCCTCTATTTCCTTTTTCAGTATCCTGTAGTTTTCTGAGTAAAGGTCTTTTACATCTTTGGTTAAGTTTATTCCTAGGTGTCTTTTTTTTTAGCTGCAATGGTAAATGGGATTGTTTTTCAGTTTCTGTTTCTGAGTGTTCATTATTGGTGTATAAAAATGCCATCAATTTCTGGGTGTTAATTTTGTATCCTACCTTGCTGAATTCATTTATTAAATCCAGTAGTTTTCTGGTGGAGTCTTTAGGATTCTCTATGTACAATATCATGTCATCTGCAAATAATGAGAGTTTTGTTTCCTCCTTTCCAATTTGGATGCCTTTTATGTTTTCTTTCTGTTTGATGGCTGTGGCTAGGACTTCCAGTACTATGTTGAATAAGAGTGGTGAAAGTGGACACCCCTGTCTTGTTCCTGTTCTTAGGGGAAATGGTTTTAGTTTTTGCCCATTGAGTATGATGTCGGCAGTAGGTTTGTCATACATGTTATTATGTTGAGGTATGATCCTTCTATTCCCACTTTGCTGAGAGTTTTTATAAAAAATGGGTGTTGGATTTTATTGAATGCTTTTTCTGTATGTATTGATAGGATCATGTGAATTTTGTCTTTTGTTTATGTGATGTATCACGTTTACTGATTTGCGAATACTGTACCAGCCTTGCATCCCTGGAATAAATCCCACTTGGTCATGTGTATGACCTTTTTAATATATTGCTGGATCCCATTTGCTAATATTTTGTTGAGGATTTTAGCATCTATGTTCATCAGGGATATTGGCCTGTAATTCTCTTTCTTTGTAGTGTCTTTATCTGGTTTTGGAATTTGGCTAATGCTGGCCTCGTAAAAAGAGTTTAGAAGTATTCCTTCCTCTTGGATTTTTTGAAATAGTTTGAGGAGGAAAGGTGTTAATTCTTTGAATGTTTGATAAAACTCCCCTGTGAAGACATCTGGGTCAGGGTTTTTGTATACTTGGAGCCCTTTGATTACTGCTTCAACTTCATCAGCAGTTATCAGCCTATTTAGACCTTCTGACTCTTCCTGATTGAGTTTTGAAAGGTTGTATTTTTCTAGGAATTTATCCATTTCATCCAGGTTGTCCAGCTTGGTGGCATATAGCTGTTCATAGTATTCTCTTACAATCCTTTGTATTTCTGTTGGGTCAGTTGTTATTTCACCTCTTTCATCTCTGATTTTGTTTATTTGGGTCCTCTCTCTTTGTTTCTTGATGAGTCTGGCTAAAGGTTCATCAATCTTGTTTATCCTTTCAAAGAAACAGCTCTTGGTTTCATTCATCTTTTGTATTGTTTTTTTTAGTCTCTATATCATTTATTTCTGCTCTAATCTTTATTATTTCTTTCCTTCTACTTACTCTGGGCTTTTCTTGTTGTTCTCTAAGTTTTTAAGTTGTAGGGTTAAAGAGTCTATTAGAAGTTATATATATAAATATATATAAAATATAAAGATATGAATATAAGTATATATTTAAATATAAGTATATAAAGATATATATTTTTTGGTGTGCTGCAGAATTTTAGTAATTAGTTCATGCATGCCATGAAATGATTAAGGTTGAAAATCGCTGGTATAGATATTACTTTATTGCAAATGTTAGGTGTTTTACTTTTTAGTTGAGTAAACATATGTGCAGTTCCAAATACAATGATTTAGTATTTTATTCTTCTAGATTGGGTTGTTAATCTCAAGTATGTAACTTTTTAGCGATCATAGTCTTAGTTTTTTTTCCACTAAATAGGAGAGCAAGTATCATGTGCGACTATTGTAATCTTGCAGCATGGCTTTCCATGTTTTTAGTAGCTTCCCGGTGATTTTCTTTTATGAAGTTAAAGGTAAAATTATGTTTATTTTTCTTTAGGCCCTAATTTAGTATGTTCCTTTCCTACCTGTAATTGCTCCTTCTGCTTCTGTCTTTATCCTGCCTTTGTCTTACCCCCACCTTTCCAACCCAACAACCCCCTCCCACATTTTTGGAGCACCTCTGATCTTTCCTTTTTGTTCTCTAGCTCTGTTAGTTTTTCCCCCCCCTTTGTGATCTTGCCATTTGATCTGTGTTTTTAAGTCTTCTTTGCTTCTTCCCCTCTCTCCCTTCATTATTTCAACTGGTTAAAATATAAACCGGTCTATGTGTGTATGTGTTCTGTGCACTCATTACATTAGATCTGTGTTTCATCTCTTAATTTTTAATGGATAAACATTTTAGACTTTTTTTCTCTGATAAAATAAATATAATACAAAATTTATTTTACTTAATGGTTGTTAACCTTGTTTTCTGTGTTGTTCATTTTTAACTACAAAGAAAGTTCTATTACGAGTCCTCTGATCTACTGAAGAGCAGAAATATTAAGTAACATTTCCAAGGTCACCCAGCAAGAAAGTGGGAAAGGAGGAACACAGATGTAAGTATCTTGACTCCAGATAAGGACTCCTAACTATCCTACTTTGCTCATTAGGATATTTTAGATATTTCAATATGATGCTTTAAAGGGACATTTAGGGAGTAGTCAGGTAAGAATATAGTAGAACATTAGCAGCTTTCATTTCATGAATTCCTTGCCTTCTGCTCTGTGAAGGTAACATTTATGTTTACATTTAATATGTGAATGGAAAACAGTTCAGCCACTTCAGATATTTTACCATAAAAAGTCCCTTTTGATACACTCTTGTTTATTTCTGGATGACTGTTAGGGAAGCAAGGCAGAATAGTCAGAATACTTTGGAATATCATCTCCATTCTCAACTCTACCTGAAAAGAGGGACTTCTTAACTGTGGACACACATCAAACATCACAGTAAAAATTAAAGTTCAATCAACTGTTAGATTTTTAAAAACAGAATATAGAAATATAATATGTATAATTCTTATTAAAATGTTTTCATCAGAATGCTTGGCATCATGTAGGTACAGCACCAATAACATTTTGGGTAAAATACAAATATTCCTTCATAGTAAGGAAATAAAATATAACCAGATAAAGGCTACTCTATGTTGATGAGCATATGTAGTGAGTTGAATAATTATTTGGTTGCTTTCATTAGAAAGAAATCAGCATGTATTTTTAGCAATACAAATCATAAATATTGTCCAAATTCTCAACAATTAATCAATTAACACATTGACATTTGAATGCAATGGATGAAAAACAGGCACAACAGACACTGTAATTTACAAAGAAAATTTTAAGCAAATAAAGTGATTCATCTCTATTTCTAAAGCTGGTTTACTTTTAAATTGTTTAACCTACTCAGCTCTGGTCAGTTTGGCTCAGTGGTTAGAGCATCGGCCCATGCACCAAAGGGTTTCAGGTTCAATTCCAGGTCAAGGGCACATGCCTGGCTTGCAGGTTTGCTCCCCAATGTGGGCATATGTGCGTGTGAGCGGCAACAAATTAGTGTGTGTCTCTCACACATCGATGTTTCTCTGTCTCTCCCTCCCTTCCACTCTCTCTAAAAAAAACCCCCAAACCAATGAAAAAATATCCTCAGGTGAGAATTAATAACAACAACAACAATACTGTTTAACCTACTCTCTATAAAAACATTTTTTAGTACATTAAACTTGGTTTAAATATAGTTATTTATATTTTCTAAATGTAAAGTGGCTGTCTGACATTGGTTATAGTATCTACCTCAAAAAAGAAAAAGAGCCCGGCTGTTGTTCCTCAGTGGTTGAGCGTGGACCCATGCACCAAGAGGTTGCCAGTTCCATTGCAAGTCAGGGCACACACCCAGGTCAGGGGCTCAATCCCCAGTGTGGGCTGTGCAGGAGGCAGCTATTTGATGTCTCTCTCTCATCAATGTTTCTGTCTCTCTCTCCTTCTCCCTTCCTCTTTCTCTAAAAATAAAAAAAGATAATCAATAACAGCATATTTTTTAAAAAAAGGACACATTTAGTTCATACTCATCAACTATTTAACCATCTGTTCCCCCAAATAAGCTAAAGATTCAACCACAGTTTACTCTAGCATAATTATAATTAAACTAAAAGAAACTAAAGATAAATGCTGTAATTAAGAACTTGGTCATATAGACAGTAGTTGGACAAAATTAATGCAGATAAGGAAGTACATTTCTACGCCTACTTAAAATGTAAAAATTACCTTTCCAAGCTTCGATATGTCTCGGTACAAGGACAAAGGCAAAATAAAGACTACTGTGGAAAGCACAATAATGAAGTGACGACCAATAAGCAAGTTTTCAGGATCAGCTAAAACACAATAAATGTTATAAAGTGTTTATAGGTATGACACAGTGACACAGTAAATAATGAATTACCAAAATGACTTTAATATTAAATAAAATCTAAAAGACAATGTTTTAAGAGTAAACATGCACTGTAAAACCATGTAAAACTAGAAATAATACACAAAAATATAAATTCAAAGTAACTTAAGGATAAACCTATAGTTCAAATAATGTTAAAATATTTTATATTTAAATGATTAGAATAGCCCTCTTATCAGTTTCCTTGTTTTTACCTTTCTTTGTCTCCTTAGAGTACAGAATAATTTTTAACTTAGAAACTACAGAGATCCTTTCCAAAAGCAAAAAAATATTATGTCACTCCTTGTCCAAACCCTCTACTGGCAAAACTGTTCGTTCAGTAAGCTACACAGGGACAGGGCATTCTCTGAGGCTTTTTTTTTTTTTAAATCCTCACCCAAGGATATATTTACTGACTTTTGGAGAGAAAGAGAGAGAAAGATCCATTGATCGGTTGCCTCTGGTATGCACCCCGATCAGGGATAGAACTCAAAATCTTCATATGTGCCCTGAAAGGGAATGGAACCCAGGACAATGCTCCAACCAGTTGAGCCAGGGTTTTTCTGAACCTTTTTTGTTTTTAATTCTGTATTTCAAAGAAACTTGAACAGTGAAACTTAAACAAAATTTCAAAAATAAAGATTAAGATACAAATATTCACTAAATTTCTATCCTTTTGTTGAGAATGAAGTCTTTTTCCCTGAAGGAAATGTAGAGAGAAGCAACTTGTGGATAGAGAAGTCAGAAGGAAGCTGGTATACAGCGTCTTAGAGTCTTGGCTATCATAACCAGTAAATGAGAGAGAGAGAGAGAGAGAGAGAGGGAGGGAGAGAGAATGTGTATGTGTGTGTATGTGTGTGTGTGTGTATGTGTGTCTACCATTAAATAAAAAAAATTTTAAACATAAATTGAAATATACTTACAAGGATTTATATATATTTTAAAGCTGTGCTAATCACAGTATTTGCATCAGGAGCTCTATATCTATTCCAGTGAAGATACCATTGTTTAAATGTTTTAGCCCACATTGAATTCCTTCAGAGATCATGTAGTTATATTTTTGCAATATCTTTAGTGGTACCAAGCCTTTGTGTATTTAATTCTGCGAAGTTTAAAGTCTGTAGAGGCCAAGTCAAATAAGTGAGTGTGATTTTAAATAAAAGCTATTAATCTGAAAAGTGAGACTAATTTTCTTACATGGCTAACAAACTAATTAAAAAGAAAGTTCCAAGATAGGAATTTCAAAATGGCATAAAATTTACACACACACACACACACACACACACGAATGGAACAACTAATCATGAGTATTTAACTCAACCATAACTAAACAATCATCATAAAGTTGTGAATTAAAACAATAAAAGTTTTAACTCCCAAAATCCTAAATGCAACTATTTGCGTATTTCTGGTGAACATAATTTGCATTAAATTATCTCTATATCCATTTACCCCTTCAAACCACTCTCTCTGATATACTTGATAGAAAATATGTTTTCTTCACTGGGGAAATTCTAAGGCCTAGAAAAACATGAAAACTGACTGCTATGAATAGCATGTAGGAGCCGCTACCTGCGGGTCTCCATTCGTGTACAGGACATTTCTCACTAATGATCCATAATAAGGTCTATTACCTATACTGACTTTTTAACAGAAATGCACCCAAATAAGCATTCTAAATTTTTAAACAATAGCAGGGAAAATTGAACATTGTAATATTTCAAAAATACCAAAATCATCTAAACATATTACTTTGTACACCAATGTTTCTTATTAGTTTGACTTGTATCATGAATCAAGACTTTGGTTATTTGGAAAAAGTATACACAACTGCCCACAAGACATTGGTGATATATTTCAGGAGGAAAAAAAAATCAGGTTTAATGAGGATTTTATCTACTTCTAAAAACACTTTGGCATCATATTAATCTTTGTAAGACATACAATCATACAGTACAAAATATCACATTCAACAATGTAAAGAAATTGTGATAAGACTAAAAGGGTGTTCTCTGCTATGTGACCTATATTTTAAAAGTCTTTTTTTTTTTTTTTAACATATCTTTATTGATTTCAGAGATAGGAAGGGAGAGGGATAGAGAGATAGAAACATCAATGATGAGAGACATTGATCGGCTGCCTCCTGCAGGCCTCCGACTGGGATCGAGCCCGCAACCCGGGCATGTGCCCTGACCAGGACTCGAACCCCGATCGCTTGGATCCTAGGTCGACGCTCAACCGCTGAGCCACGCCCTGGCGGGCAAAAGTTGTTTTTGATGATTATAAGATTAATAGCCAGGAAGGAGGTTTCAAAGGGAATTTAGCTTTATCTATGACGTTTTATTTTTTATGAAGAGCATATACAGGGTGGGGCAAAAGTAGGTTTACAGTTGTTTGTATGGGAAATAATGAAACAATGAATAAATAATAATACAAGAATAAACTCTGTGTTTTGCATACTCACAACTATAAACCTACTTTTGCCCACCCCTGTATTTATGTTATTTGTAAAATTAAAAAATCAATAAAAATTAATAATCAAAATGTATCTATCAGGAAGAATTAAAGTAATTATGGTCTATCCAACTGTACAGTACATATGGTACAGGAGAATACTAAACTGCCAATTAAACGAATATGACTCTGTGTCCCTAATACACTGCTAAAAGAAAGCAGCGTATTATAGAACAAGATGTACAGTGCTATCTTATTCATATGACTATCTGAAATTACATACATTCTTAAAGCTCTGAAAGTATGCATTAAAAAGGGAAAGGAAGGAAGGGAGGGAGGGAAGGAAGGGAGGAATGTTGGAAGGATCGTCCCTACTTGGTTTTCCCAGGAGGAAGTGATTATGAGTATGTTTTACCTTCTCCATTTTGCTTATCTGTGCTTTCTAATATTTTCCTAATAAATATGTATTACTTATTAAATGAGAAAATAAAGTAATAAAAAAAAATTAATACATGTTCCTTTGAAGACCATTAGAAAATAACAAAAGGAAACAAACAAAAAAATCTTATGGGCCCCACAATGAAAGATAACCACAATTTACACTGAATGTATTTTTTTAAAAGTTTCCCTTATTTATTTATGCAAATGGAAAATTTATATTATTTAGATCATATTGTATATATGGTATTATATTTTCCTATTATTAATTAGCATTTTCTCCACTCACATGATCCAAGTTCATGAAATTATGATTTGGAGGTTGAAGACTAAGACAGAAGCTGCAACTAATTCAGGGTTACAACAATAATAGCCAACAATGCGGGGTAAGCCTGTTGGGGGCAGAGATGTTGACTGTGAAAGGGGGGAGGGCACCTAATGGGAATAGGACCATAGTTGTTTAGTGATTATTCGCTTTACTAACTAAAGATAAGAAGTTTTCCTACAGGCCCTAGGAAACTGGAAGATGTGCTGAAAGAAGATAAACAGAGCTATAAAAGTTGAGGCACCTTGGGGCCTAGATGGGTCTATTGCTCAGAAAAGAAAATGCATTGGAGAACGGACAAAGGACAGTTTGATTTGGTTGCTGTGCCTGGAGCCTGAACCCACTCGGGGAGTTTACCTCAGAAATGCTGACCATTCACAGGTCCTAGGACCTGGGAACTGGGTTTAAACACCATTGAAAATTAACTACCTTGTTATCTGACTTTAAGATCCTGGAAGGAGACACAGGGACCACAGACCCTGCAGCCATTCTCCCACCCCCCACCCTCCACCTTCTTTCCCTTGCACGCAGCCCTATATAACCAGCCAGGTAATAAGGGAAGGGCAGGGCAGATTTTATGCGGACAAATCCCATTGCTTTTCCATTTGCTGGCAAAAATGGAATAAACGCTCATATTTGATCTTTTTTTTTTTTTTTTTTTTTTTTTT